TGAATTTGTCTCAGAAGGATTTAGATTTGGATGTTGATCATGGTAGTTTAACTGAGGCACACAAAATCAGCTTGGTTTCAGCTTATGACCATAAGTTACACAGAATCCGTGCGACTCGGGTTCAGAGTCACATGTCTGTGTGTGTCTAACTAAGTTTCCTGGTTTTTCAGCTGAACAGGGCGAAGGCCGAGGCTCGCCTGGCCCTGCTGTCAGAGAGCACGCCAGGAACAGAACAATGGCTTCACGCTGCCATGAACCAGGTGGAAGAGGAGTTGGAGAGAGAGCGACATCTCAGCGAACAGAGGAAGTCTACTGAAGACTTTTCAGTATGCAAACAAACAAACACACAGACTGAGCTGCGTTTTCATCACATGGTGGCTTGCATGTCCTCTTTAGAGGCCTCTATCACTCGTAACGCAATACTCTTTTTGTCCTCTGGGGTCAAAAATGACCCCACTTCATTTTAGTGTTTTTTTAAAGTACATGGTATAAATGTGGCTGTGTTACACTTTAAGTTTTACTTGTGTGTTTATGACCCTTTTCTTTACCCAAGAATCTTTGCCTCTGACCATCACCTGCAGACCAACCAGAGGTGTATCTGAGATGACGAACATAGGGATATCATCCTGACCTCATTATTTGAAACTTTATTAGACTGTATAACTTTAATATAAGCATCCACCACTGAAATATTATACATGTGACAGAAAGTAAGGAAAAGCAAAATACGTTTCTTTAACTTAAACTTTGCCCTGACCTTAAAATCATCCGTCAGCCTCTAACACAACACAGGAAGTCGCTTTTTGTCTACAACAAAAACACACAAGTGTGACTCCACAACATAATTGCACACATACAGAGACACAACAGATGTTACACACAGGGGAACAAACAGGCTAAAGACTATTTCAGATACAGAATTAACTTCAGTGCGTGCTTGTTGGATGATTTTATCACTCAGCGTGTCTTGCAGATGCTCAAAAATATTTTTGGGATCAGAGTGGAGACGACACCCTTAAACACTTTGTTTTGCAGGAGGACGAGTTCGAGCTGACTGACTTTGAGGACTACGATGATAACGGAGAGATCTTCACAGATCCAGTGTCAGCATCTGGAGTGTGTGTTTACCCTGCAGCCTGCAGAGGTATTTACAGCTATCAGGTAGTGATCATCAGCATATCCCCCCCCACACACACACACCCCACACACACTTTTTAAAACTTTTTTTTAGCAAATTCAATTAATCAATGAGTCTAAAAGATCTGTACAGTCTGAAGCAGAGCTGTTAAGGTGTTTACAAGATGCTCAAGGCTGTTGTTGGTGCCATAGTGGTGCAGTGGATAGCACTGTTGCATCAAAGCAAGAAGCTGCCCCAAAGCATCCTCGAGCCC